ATTGCTGTTGAAAACAAATTGCATATAATACAGACAATATATGATGTTTAGACTTGTCACCTGGAATCGATTTTGTATATGCACTTAAATCTGCATCCATGTACTGGCAAGAGGTAATCTCTGACACACAAACAAAACCTCTCATTTCATCAGAAATTTGGATGTGTTAGTATCTTCATCATCATTACAATAATTCATTTCTTTCTATTGGTAGAGGCTCCATTCAATTTGATGAGGATGATTCTCATCAATATTGAAAGTTGTAGTCTCTACATGATTGTTTCACAGTCTTGGTTAGCAGTTATGTTTTCAACATTTTCTGATTGAGGGCAAGGACTCAATTTGATATGCCGAAGTTGATTGTCATCAGCATTTAGAAATTTAGTGTTTTAGCATTAGAGAATGAAGCCTTTAATTAAGTTAGCTTCTTAGTTTTTAGCTACTACTTTTCTGATTTTTTCTTCCTCTCTTATGATTTTATCTTATGTTTGTACACTTGTACAATAGATAAGATGAACACTTAAAGAATAATATGTGTGTGCACATATAAGCATACTTTTGTGTATGTGCTTGAGTGCTTGTGCGTGGGAGAGGGTTTTGTAAATGATAGCATATACTTTTTTGTACTTCACTCAAAAATTTCAAATTTTTTACTTGCATTCTATAACATGTAATTAATGATGTTTGTCAAGTTGTCAATGAGTTATTTACAGCTGATAAGTGGGTCAACATAGGCCCACAAGTAAGTATGAAGTTTTTTACAGGATAACAATTTGCAAAATCTGTTCAAGAAACACAAACAATTGATACAAATATATAAAAGATTAAATACTGTTACTAACCTTGTTAGTGATGATTGAACTGTTTTCTTGAACAAAATCTAAAGTCTTTGAGAATTAAGAATTGAAAGATATAGATATGTTCAATCTAGCCTAACAATTTAGGTCTAGTCATACTTTAGGCCTACTGCTTGATCATATGATAAAAAAACGGCACAAGATGGCTGTGAAGGAGTCTGGTTGACAGTGTTATGAAAACGTGGATTAAAGATACTTGATTGGTTGAGGCCTATCATTGAGTTAGTGGAAATATAGGTCTAAACTAGCAAATATGCTATGTCAGAGCATAGTTACAGCTAGTCACATTACTCAGAGGAAAGTCATTCAAATTTCTGCACTCTACATCACATGATAGGGCTACCCATCTCACATATAAATTATCTTTCTCTCTTCAAACATAAGTAGTCTCAGTCAAATGATTGTTATTAAACATTTTCCTAAAAAGAAAAACATTAAAATAGGTCTTCTTTTTTATAGTGGGCCTTTTTTTAGCCTGCGTTGGCACTTCAACCCCAATAATTCCTGCATTAATCTGCCCCTGTATGCATATCCCTCCCCTTCCCTCACAAATTACTTGGCTTTCTTTATATTGAACATATTAGATTTTATTTACCAACATTTTGGCTTTAGACTCACTTCAGATACTGAGAAATATAAATGCTTATTAATCAAACAACTGAACAAAGTAATAAACTGCATATTGTATGTGAGATGTGCAGTAACAAATTAAAAAACTATATATGCTTATGTAAATAATGTTAGTTTTGGTAGGTGTTACTTTCCACAAATAGATTGAAACAAACAAAATATACTATTATTCCTAAATGTATCTTACTTTGACTGATTGTTTTATGAATCTTCTGGTTAACTGCATCAGAAGTAAAAGGAACTACAAAAATAGTTTTCATTTTTTAAAAATATCTTTGCTTTCTGTATTTTTATTTTTCTAAATACATTTTGGATACCATAGTTGATAGTTGTTAGGCAAGGTTTGGATTTCATCACTACTTTGATTGGCCTTTCGATAGATGCTGAGAACCTATAAATGGGAAATAAGCAACAGATTCTTTTAAATGTATGAAATGGATATAATTGAAAATAAATCCCTGTGTGTTGGTCTGAGAAAAAGCTCATGAGAGAAACTTTCACTTCCTTGTACATGAATTAGAATGTTTATAAGACGCTATGATGATTTATGTTGTATGAACTTCCAAGTGAAAATTGAATTGCAAAATTTTGGTCATTCATTTGAAATGTGCATGAAACCCATTAAATTCTTCCAGTAAATATTTCAGGCTTGTTTTGTTATGAATTTCGTGCAAAGCCACACAAGGGCTATCTATGCTAGCCCTCCCAAATTTAGCAGTGTAAGACTAGAGGGAAGGCAGCTAGTCATTGCCACTCACAGCCAACTCTTGGGCTACTCTGTTACCAACGTATAGTGAGATTAACTGTCACATTATAACACCCCATGGCTGAAAGGGTGAGCATGTTTGGTGTGATGGGGATTTGAACCCATGCCCCGCAGATTGTGAGTCAAGTGCCCTAACCACCTGGCCATGCTGAGCCATATTTCAGGCAATAAAAACACCATCTATAAACTGCACATAAAACTCTAATTCTACTTGTGTTTATGAAACACTAGCTAATGCATAAATATCATTATAAAGGCAGGTGCAAATCAGTTTACCATTGATATACATATTTCTGAAAAACTTGTTACCAAAATAAAAGTGACTGTTATTAACAATAAACTAGGTTTCCTTTGCAAGTTAAGGCTAATTAAGCATTATCTTGCTCTTTCTCAGTTGACAGTTAAAAGCAGCTTCAACACCTTAGCAAGGTATTACTGTACAAACCCTTAACATGTAGAATGACAAGTAAAGTATTATCTTGAAAACCATATGGAAAAGAATTGTGAAGAAATTTTGGAGCTCTTCATGTAAGTTGGTACAAGCCTAAGCAACTGAATGAAAGTTTTCATGAAACCATAACATTCAACTGTACAGGCTGTTGTTTGCTGAAGCAATAGGTTTTAAAATAATTCGTTTTTTGGTCGTTGGAAGAGTATACACCTCTGGATATCAAGAATGGCAAAATATAATAGATGATATAAGTGTTTCCTATGGTATATATTCATAGTTTTACTTATTCCTAGGTTTCTTTTCTAGGTAATGATTGAGTTCTTCATTGAGTTTCTCTTTCATTTGATAATTGCCTAAAATTAGCTTAAAGCCAAAATGAAGATGAGCAAAATCTAACAATGTAAGAGTGAAGAAAACAATATTAATTTTAACTTTTTTTTTGGGGGGGGGGGGTTAGGTTTATAACAATCTTTAGTTTATTCTATTTAATATCCTTTCAATCTATTAATATATCTATTGCATACTAATAATACTGCAGTTCCTACCTCTCTAATCAGCTATTAAAAAAAGAGAGTTCAATTTATCATTTAACAATCAGATTGTAACTAAGCCAACTGTATACTTCCCATCCTTGCTGGCTAAAACTATGAAGGAATATAAACACTGTTAGGAAATATTGTTTTAATGACATGAAAAACAATGTAATTTTTAAGCATTAAATCTGAATTGCAGTTAGTTATATATAGTATCCCATAATAAGAAATGCAATGTTGCTGTAAACATCATGTGTTACAGAGAATGTTATTGTCAATTTTTTAACTCATGATATTACAGGTAATTGATATGAGTACTATGTAATGTTAACAATTATGATAAACTAATATAACTTTTTGTGGACTAATTACTAACATTTAATTACAGTCTAGAATGGACTCAACTATAAAATTTGGAGACAATCAGTCTTAAATATGAAATTAATTAAGCTACTTTTCGAACACAGGTTTTGAGTTTTGTCAAAAGAATAATTAAAGCTCAGGAACTATTCAACAGCAAAATAAACTTTTTTTTGACCACACAGTTTTAAGATTATTAGCACATGTATCATAATTAACCTCACTAAGTTCTTGTATCATAACCTCACCAAGTAATTACACAGTAGATCTTGTATTAAACGTTTAGATGACAAATATATGCTTACTATTTCAAAATGAAAAACAATATTTATTTTTGAATTTTAAAACTCAGTTCCCATATAGAGATGGCAGTTTTACATTATTGTTAATTTGGAATACTCTTAATTATGTCCTTCACTCCTTCTGACTATTGCAATGTTTATATTGAAGAAATTAAGACATACTTTGTGTTTTATGGTTTTTCCTTATCTTTCAACTTATTTTGATATTTCTAGCATTATGATAGGGGTATCTCTATATGGTTACGTTTTAAATTGTAGACATTAAAATTTTTTATACATGCCTCTTGACAAAGACGACTCAAACCTCTGAGTTTGAAAGATCCACTGGGTTGCAAGTTTTCAAGTTTAAGAAAAACTGGACGTTTCACAAGCTTGCTTAAAGGTTCACTTTCTATTAGAGGTGTCTCTATAAAAATATTTTTAGAAATTTGATAATCTTCCATGTTAAAGGCCAGAAATCATCAATTGCCTTCTGTTATGATGTATAAAACGACAGTTCAGGTCAGACTCTGGAAAGAAGAATAGAATTTGTCTAAACCTTTTTTCTCATTTTTATTTTCAGTAACTGAATAATCTAATCAACTGCTATACATAATACTACAAAAGAACATATTCTACACTGACTAGCAACTTTATTAGGGCTCTTATCTAACATCAGGTTTGACAACTTTATCAAAATAATAACTTGGATTCTGAGTGATATAGACTACACAAAATGCATATTCACTAAGAAGTACAGTGTGGTTCACAGATGTTGGCCGATGATGACAGTGGTGAGAATTAATTTCAAGATTCTCACAAAGATACAAAATCTTACTGAAACCTGGTGATTGTGTTGGTTAAGAAAGTTAACATTTTCATTATGTGAAAATGTATTTCATATAGATACTCGCCTCCACACACAGTTTAGCTATCTTCCTCAGGTCTTCTGCATGTTCTGCCAAAGAGATTTGCATGCCACTGGCCTCACGAAAACTTTCATTTTATTTCATGTGAATTTGCTTCACTGCATAATGATATCACCATGTTCTGTTAGATATACACAATTGTTTAACTTTATGTTTAATGCAAGCATTGTGATTTACATAGTTAATATTTTGTTACTTTTAGAAGCAATATTTCATGGTAAGTTTGTTTATTTAACTGTTTATGAATCATAAGTTCTGTAGTTCAATTGTTATAAATTAGTGATAGTTTACAATTGTGAGATTATTGCATCATGTTGCTAGAACTTTCTGAGTTTTGTGTTAGTTTAATTAAGTATTATTGCATCAGAATATCTAGTTTGGATTGTTGGGGGTATAAATAAGTGACTAAAAATCATTAATGAGTTCTAGATCTAGACTACGTGATCCTGAGTTTAGTGATAACATGTGTATAATGACAATTTTTAAAGTGAAATTATCAGACTGTATTGTAATAGCAGAGAAGAGAAGAATAATCTGTCTTGTTAATTGTGTTCTAAAGTAATTGATCCAGCCTGTGTGGACTTTGACAAAAAAGAGACAATGACTTAAAGCTCTGGAGACAACTGTGGTAACAAACAGTGTAATGAACATTTGTATGTAAGTTTGATTTGTTTTAATATATTATTTCTGAAACAAGTGGACCATGTTGCTGTTTGTTTATAGTTGAAATTTATTGCCAACAAGTCACAGACACCTACTATAAAGAATCTGGCCTTACAAAACCTGACACATGTTCATGTACACAACTCTCTCTCTGTGTATTTGCATTCATCAATCTTCATTCTTCAATGAGGTAAGTAAGAAATTTGCCCCAGAAGTGGGGAGAATGGATAGGAATGTGTGAATAGGTGAGAATTTATTGCAAATACATTTTCAGGTAAGGAAAATGTTAACTTCTTAAAGGAATACTCATTTCTACACACGGTTTAGCTAGAATTCTATGTTGAAATGGTAGAGGGACTGGCACAGAGATGACCTAGATGAGCCCTCTTTAGAAAGTATCAAAGAAACCCATGGTTTGTGACTGCATAAAAGACTGCATCATATCTCAATCAGGGTGTAGTCTTTGCCTGCATAGGAAAGATTGTTTGTTTGTTTGTAACTAAGAAGAAAGCTACACAATGGGCTATCTGTGCTCTGCCCACCAAGGGTATCGAAATCCGGATTCTAGCATTGTAAGTCCACAGACATATCGCTGTGCCACTGTGGAGCACATAGGAAAGAAGAGAGGAAGTAAGCCAGATTTGGGTTGCTTGGATGGGCAAAATCAGTACATGGCCATCTGAGTACTTGCACACAAGATGTCAGACAGTCAATACATGCAGTGAGTTTGGGACTTACTCAGACCATACCTTATGTGCTTGCCTTCTCTACCATCAGGCTTGGTGGGTCAAAACCAGCTTTGTGAGAAGGGCATTTGTGATAAGTATTGGTGCTCACCTCTTCTACCATCAGTATATAATAGCCACATGCCAGCTGCAGCAGAAGAAGAGCAATGTATTAACTTGTTTCAGTATGGATATCTATATACACCTCTATTCAACTGTCAATCTCAATAGGCCCCTTGTCAGCTGCAGGAGGAGGATATGAGAGGTACACCACTGGTATGTACAGTGTGTTCACCTCAACATTACCAGCAGTCTCTACAGGCTCAATGCCAGCTGTAAATTCTTGGCAATAAATTTTAACAATAATCAAACAGCACACAATCCACTTGTTTTAAAATAATATATTAAAACAAGTCAAACATATATACAAATGCTCATTACACTGTTGGTTATCACAGTTGTATCCAGAGCTTTAAATAATTCTGTTTTTGATCAAAGTCCACACAGGTTGATTCAGTTACTGTACAAGACAAATTATTTCTTCTCTATTCTGTTATTACAAAACAATCTGTGATAATTTCGCTTTAGAAACCTCCACAATATGCTCTTTTGGCTAAATTCAAATTCATGCTGGAAACAAGTACATTTGTGTGGTGATGGGTTATTTCACCAAGTGGCCTGAGGCATATGCAATACCAAATCAGGAAGCTACAACTGTAGCTTCAACTATTAGTGATTTCTTCTTCAGATTTGGTATGCCATACGAATTGCATTCAGATCAAGGCCATAATAATTTTACTAATTATGGAATGGTCAAATTGGATGATCATTCCAGTTGTCATGCCATAATTACAACAACTCTCTCCATATCATCCTCTAAAAAATTATTAAAAAAAATTAAACTTACTGTTAGACAGTTCAAATGTTTTTCATTCCACTATTGTAGTTTATTATTCAAATACCCTAATTTCCAATGAAAAATTAATAAGAATCCAGAATAAACAGTAATTTAAGGTAATTCTAAACAGAGAATAATAATAAACAAAATACATGAGGATAAATAAAAACAAAATATTTATTCTTACAAGAATGTATGGTGTCTGATCAGCTTCAACATTCACTATTATGACTGCAGCTGGGTAATAAAGTAAGTTTGATAAGTTTCCTACTCATAATACTTGTACAAGTTGCTGAACCACCCCTTGAAATAATTAAACTTCACTCCAGGAGGGCATGATCAAGGGTAGGACACCAGCAAGATTGTAAATGGGGTAACTTACTGACCATAGTGACTTGAAATATTTTGGTACCTCAGAATTTAAAATGTTTTCCTGTTTTAAGCAGCCTAGGCAACCTTATTTTTGCCATTCAAAGTGCTGTAATTATGTTTTAGGAATTGGCATATCTATATAACAAATATATGCATTTAATTATGAAACCTACAGAAACAAGTTCAATCTGTCTACAATAATATAGGAAATGCATTTCATTATAAACATTTGAAATGTATATGCATTTAAAAGATATATCAGAATATTCTTTAAAGTCTGTTACGTCTCCGTTTCGTTAATTGATTTTTCCGTAACTTCGTTCCGACGAAATTTTAACGACACAAGTCTTTACT